TATATATATATATATATATATATATATATATATATATATATATATAAGATTTTTTTATGCAGAAATGACAAGGCTTCCTTCAATATTCTGCAGTCAATAATTTTACTTCAAAACTGGCTTTGCACAATTTTGATTCCCAGCTTATAAACGGAAAGTTGAAATCAAGGAGCTATAGGGTGTAGAGTGGTTGCAGTTAGTAACTCCATAGCCACCATTCAGACATATCCAGCATATGGTATGAAATGTGCATGTTAGGCATTTATTACCTGGGCTAAGGAAGAAATAAAAGACTGATCCAAAGTTATATTTACAGATAAAAGCAAATGTAGGATTTTCTTTGTAAAATTGGAAAGGAAGGAAAGCCACAAGTTACCTTAGGTCCTGTGTGAAGTTCTGCACGTTCAGTCATATGATTCGCTATGCGGGTCCACTGTGTTTTATTACAGCCAGGGTTAGGGAAGTGAAGTACCAGGAAATCTTAAAGCACTCCACCATGGTTGTTGACCAACTTTATAGAGAGGCTGATATATAACTTTTACCACACTGCTGCAGTAAATCATGCAAAGTAAACTGCAACCAGGTATCGAGTCCATATACTGAACACGATAGCACTATTCAGTAGGTAAACAATACTCTGCAAATAATGAGCCGGCACAAGTTTAACTATCTACAGAAGGTTGCTGAAATATATCAAGTAGATCTTCAGAACTAGAAAAGGTCCATGATTCCTTTTCACCATAAGTTGAGTTTTTGTATCATAGCCTGAAGCATAATCCATTTTTATTTAAATATGGTTAGAATGGATTCCAAAAGAGTAAAACAAAATGTGTTTTTATTCTTAAATGCTTTTAAATGTGTATGCATGTTTCTATAATGGTTTGTGATGCTCTTTCAGTGTTTCTCATAGCATATTTGGACTGAGTGCATCCTGCAACTCTATTTGGTAAAACAAAGAAAGGCTGGTATCTCATATGCAAAGCTAATGCATCATGTCGCCTTATCAATGAGTCTGTCCATCTAAAACAACGGTTATTCTGCATAAACAAGAAAGTTCTATGTTTCCTTATTATAGCTTTAGAATAAAGTGGGACTTCCAAAAAAGAAAATTTAAAATAATCCACTGGACTTTGTTTCCAGTTTAAAGATATTTGCTTCCCATCCTGGAAGCTTTTTTCAATTAAAAATGTCAGGAATAGCGTTGAGTTTAAAGTTTTATACAGTAGCCCAACAGGCCTTCTTTTTTTTTTTTTTAAACATGCAAATTGAACAGATGAAGGGGTCAACCCATTTGGAATGGGGGTCTTGAAAATGCTTCCTGAATGGGAAGTGAAACATCTTCAAACTTGGAAACAAAGTCCAGTGGATTGTTTTTAATTTTCTTTTTTGGAATGACTATGACCTGGATGACTGAGAACCTTCACCAGGATAAAGTGGGACTTTATGGTAAGTTACTCTGCATCACACTGATAATACCAAAGAAAACACTGCATATTTGCACCATACATAACTGCCTTGAAATGCTCTGAACATCTTTTTTGATCAGTGCTACACTTTATGAAATGAAAATGTTCATTTTGCTGCAAAGCTGCTGCTCATTCACCGTCTGTAAGTTGTAAAAAACAATATTTAATTTTGTATACACTCTGTGTTTACAAAATGACCATAAAAGTTGTCTAAGTCTAAATAAAACACAAAATGCCTGAAAAAGTCATAAAGGTTATAGAATTAATATCTAAACATTAACAAGGACTTCACAGGAATGGGTCCTCTGTATAAAGCAGGCAAAAATATTATACCACTTTTGAAAAATATCTTCAGGCTCACAGTGGGGGGTAGCACTGTTGCCTTGCAGCAAGAAAGCTTGGGGTTCAATTCCTGGCCCATGGTCTTTCTGCATTGAGTTAGCATGCTCTCCCTGTGCATGCATGGGTTCTCTCTGGGTACTCTGGCTTCCTCCCACAATCCAAAAACATGACTGTTAGGTTAATTGGCTTC